ATATGCTCTACCAATGCATTACTTTTAAGTGAAGATCCAATTTTATGTCCAAATATCAAATGTGTTTTATAGTCGTTTGGGGACTCAAACTATTTTCAAAAGACATTACCAATTGAATGAAAATGAATTTTGTTGGCCTTTCGATGACGTTTCTCATGTAATCCGACACCCATTTAATGTCATTCACAACCAACACTACCAATACATGCAATTCAAACAAAATCTCATTTAACAAACATTGAGAAAATTTGCAAAAAACGTAGAAAAATGTTTTATATAACAAATTTTATTTAATTTTTTTGCCATTTCGTTATACAATCATACGATAAAAATGAATATTTAGTTTAATCTTAAATAAATCATTTAAATGATAACAAATTAACAAAAATATATTAATTTTAGATAATATTTAATGACTTTATTATGCTTATCAAGTAACATAATAGTAATTTTATGTATAAATAATTAGACATTAAACAGTTATATAAATTTGAAAATGTTGTATAAACTAAACCCACTTTTACAGTATTTAAAACACTGATTGTTATCATTAGATATTGGTTTTAATTTAACTTTAAATGGGATTTTTAATATATTTTGCATTAATTATGATTTAAATAAGGATAAAATCCTATATACTGTATATATAGAATATTAAACTTACTTTGCATCAAACATAATACAAAATTTATAATATGCTAATTTTTTATAACTTAAAATTAGAGTTAAACATAATAACTTGACATGAATTTAATCTCATTAACATATTTTTTCAAATTTTTTTTGTATATTATCATTAAATTTAATCAATATTTATGGCAAACGCTGATATTTGAGTTATTTTTATATATACTAATCATTTAGATAAAATCTACATATAATAATAATCAATTGTTACTAATATTTGAAAAACTAGTAAATTAGTAAATATTATTGAATACATGAAATGCATATCAATAAAAAATGCCAATAATTGTGCTGATATTTGATGAGTTACTGTAATCAATCTGACCAACCATTGAATATAACTTTTATGATATACACTATATGTTTGTGTTGTTTTACATCATTAATAAAACCAACATTTGATATGAATATATCATTTGATCTGAACCTTAAATCAACTCAATTTTGAAGTCAACATTTTATACACTCCGTTAACATTATAAAACATGTTGACAGTGAAAAAACACTATAATAAGTAAAGATTTTTAAACATGTATTTTGAGTGCAGATATATGTAATATACTATATAATTTATATATATTTGAGTGTAATATTTTTTTAATCAATTTATATATTTATAACTTATCTATATGATATTTGTATGATATTATAACATTGGCTATTAAATGGATAAGTTTTACAATATAATTATTAATAAAAATTCAAACATTGAGATTTTCTATTATAAATTTATTGTTAATTATTATTTTTTAATATGTTTGTGTTTTTGCATATTTTACAACTCATATACTATATAATAAATGTTTTAAATTAAAGTTATTATGTAGATTATGTTTCATTTTTTAAATATTGATTGTCTTAAAATCGATTTTAATTACATTTTTATGTAAACAGAAATCATATGTAAAAATAAGTGACTTAAACTATCTTATGTGTATTAATATAATAATATTTTATTAATTTTGTCATAAAGTATCTTTTAATATTTAAATATTTTGTTAAAATATGTAAATATGTTTTTTAATACTCTATAATAGGAGTCATATTTGCTTTAATAAATATACTGTAGTATATTATATTCAGTCATATAGTTTTACTTAATTTTCTATATTTTTATATCAAATAAATAAATGGTTACATATAGTAATTATATTTTTATAAATAAAACTTAAATTGATTAGTATATAGTGTTTATTAGTTTTATTTATATAATATATTTTTATAACTTTTATCAATGATAAATGTAACAATTTTAATACATCTATACCAATAATCGACAATAAGTGTTAATGTGATATTTTTTAATTTCTAATAGTTTACTTAAATTAATTTTGATTCTATATAGATGCATTTTATAAAATAATAATAATAATTGTTGTATATTTTATAATGTCTAGGTTTATAATCACTAATCTAGGCATTATTATTTTAACTACTGTATGAATATAAATTATAAATCTTAAATACTATATTTAATTTCTATAATGTATTATTAAGCTTTAATAAAACCGAATTAATATTTTTAAAGATTAGATAAATTATTATTAAAATTAGATATATTCTGTTATATATACATTAATACATAAATTTAATTTATCTATTATATAATTTGTTATTATAGGTGCTACTAAATGGTTTATGATTATACTGTAGTTAAATTTATTGATTTGCTAATGTTTTAATGGAAATAAATTAAATTTGTATGATCTGTTTGTGTTGTTTTTTAATTACATAAATTAATTAACTAAACGTTTTAGTAATAAATTAAAAGCTTATAATAAATTTTAATATATTTTAAATAAAAGATTTAAATAATAAATATTCAATGAAATTAATTCATATAATATACAAAATAGTAGTGACATCTCATGTTTGATAATAATATTTTAGTAGATTATAAAGTAAGTTGACATTAAAAAATCAACTGAAAAAACATTTAGTATAATATTTATGTATATATTTTGAATATACAGTATATTTATAAATAATATATTGTATTATTATATAACCTATTATTTTTTAAAAATTATAAAATAATTTAATAAAAAGTATTAAATTTATATACTGTAACTAAAATATAACTATCGTATTATATAACTATTATTTAGATACATTATATCAAATAGTATGGTATCGTAAATTAACTGTATTTAGTAATTTTATATTTATAAATTATAATAATAGTTTATCACAATATAATTATATATTTTTTCAAATATTACAAACTAAATTATAGTAATTAATAAAAAAAATGAATTAAACAATGTTTTAATATATCATATATTTTGTTATTTTTGAATAGAAAATTTATATAAATTTTTATATAGTTAATAAAACTAATATTAATATTAATGAATGATTAATTTTTTAATGAAAATAAAGTATTATAATACAAGTATTAGCCAAAAAACATAATATTTTAGTTTAATAGACAGTTAAATGCGTTTTAAATTATATGACATTTATTGTCAATAATGATATTAAGGATTAAATTTAGAAAAATTGTTTTATTAATAAAAATATGCAATAATTAGTGTTTTGATTTCAAACTAAAAAAAATATTTTATCGATTTATCGCTTATAAATAATAACTGAGACTTAATATAGTATGTCCACCGAACATAACAAGTGGACACTATTCCCGAAATTTTAATATAACTATAAATAACTATTTGATGGATTAGCAAATACTTATAAATAATATTAACTATTATATTCAAAAAAAACTTTGAAAAAGTTTTGTTTTCTGAAATCTATACGAGCCTTTTGTGTGTGTGTGTGTGTCTGTCTGTAGCATTTCATTTTGCGAATTTTGAAATTCTGACTTCAGATTCGGTTAGAGGACTACTAATAATGTATAGAAAAGTTGCATTAAAATTTTGATATCTCTTCGTGAACATAGACAAAATGGCGGCCAAAGTCAAAAAATTTTTAAAAACATTTAGAATTGTATAGAGCATCAAAAAGAAGATATAATAGATAAAAGTTATTTTATTTTTTCAAAAAATGGCGGCAAAAGTATGATTTTAGCTGTTTATTTTGTCATACCGACTCATCTGATACCCTACATGTCTATAGTCGAGTTTATTATGTCATACCTAATCATTTGATACTTTACATGACTAAAGTTGAGTTTATTATGTCATACCGAGTCATTTGATACTTTACATGACTAAAGTTGAGTTTATTTTGTCATACTTAATCATTTGATACTTTACATGTCTAAAGTTGAGTTTATTTTGTCATACCTAATCATTTGATACTTTACATGACTAAAGTTGAGTTTATTTTGTCATACTTAATCATTTGATACTTTACATGTCTAAAGTTGAGTTTATTTTGTCATACTTAATCATTTGATAGTTTACATGACTAAAGTTGAGTTTATTTTATCATACTGAGTCATTTGACAATATGACTAAAATCAACTGACAATTAATTTGCTAAGATAATATTTTATGTCGTCAAAGTTTTTTTTCTAATAATGCTTTCTAGCATTCTTAACTGGTTCATTTTGAAAAATATAAGCATTAAACTGTAAAATATTACACAAATATAAGTAAAAAATACAAAATATTAGTTATAAAATTTTTTTTAAAAATGTTTTTAACTCATATTTTTGTAAACAATAAAAATAATTTGGATTTCTATGTAATTTATATCATTTTTGTAAATATGCTAAAAACAAATGAATTATAAATTATTTGCAAATATAATTAAATAAATAACTATTTGGTTTAATTTGGCATTTATTATACAACTATACAACTATTGAGAAAATTTTCTAAATTAAAAAATATTTTAAGTGATGAACGCATGAAATTTGAAAAAAAATTCAAATATTATTTTATCGTTCAATTTAATCAAAATTAATGTAATTATTTGCAAATATTTTTAAATATAAATAACTATTTAAATAACTATTTGATCAATTTTAGCAACTATTATAACAACTATTTAATAAAGTATAAATAATTATAAATCAATAATGTTAATTATTATTAATAATTACTAATAATATATTACATCATTTAATTTACATATCAATATTTGTATTTTACAAAATTAGTAAAAAAATGTTTTTTTATAAAATTTAAATTTTTTTAGTAACTATTATTTGTCTTAATTTTATTTTATATTTTATTTTAACTTTTATTTTATATCAATTATTAGACTTAAAATTATTAAATTTTAATACTTTATAACTTTAAAACTATAATCGATTATTAGTTAATTAATTAATTATTATTATATACGATATTATGATATATATTATATTAAATGATAAATATTTCTAAATTTAGTGAACAAATGACACAAAAGTAAGTCACGAGATGTCAGTGTCTTCAGTGAACAGATGAGTGGTTTCAATGACAACACAAGTGTTGAGACAGAAATGGCTTCCAGTTTAAGACCCGTTGGCTTTGAGTTTGAATCACGACATCACTTAAACAGGTCATCCATGGACTCAATGCACGAGATCTCAATCCAAGACTCATCGCATGTCAGCCAAAGACCAGCAACACTGCCGTTGGAATCGCCGTTTGCATCGGTTTCCACCGATTCGGACGACCAAAGTTCTGCCAATGGTGTGACAGGAGGAGGAAAGTTGCAAACACCGATGGATCAGATAAAGGAATGGTCGCTAACGACATACAAGTGCACCAAACAATTGGTTAACGAAAAGTTAGGTAAATGTCAGCGAACTGTTGATATCGACTTAGAGGCCGACATCGAGAGACTACGAGAGACTCAACATAAATACTCATTGATACTGAAGATGACGAGAGATATGTCTTCACAATATCAGACTATTATCGGACAACAGATATCGTTATACGAGTGTCTCAATGAGTTAGCGATGAAAGAAAGTAAAACAAATAATGGACTCAATGACGACAATACTGTTGACAATGGCGTCAATAATAGCAATAATTCACTAAATTTGGGAACAGATTTCCGACAAAATGCAGAAATGATGCGAAATGTGGCTAAAAATGGCGAAAAACTTCTGTTGGCTCTCAAGTTCTTTACGTCTAATTTAACGACTTTAGTACACAAGACTATCGAAGATACGATTATTACTATAAAAGCCTACGAAATGGCACGACTCGAGTACGACGCCGAACGGAACAACTCGTCGACCACTACGTTAACCAATCAAGTGATGGCCACCGAAAAGTTACGCAATACTAAGTGCAAATACGACAGACTTCGTGAGGATGTCATCGTTAAGATGAAGTTCTTGGACGAGAATAAGGCTAAAGTGATGCACAAACAACTGATTTTATTTCACAACGCATTTGCGGCCTTTGCTTCGGGAAACGCGACCGCTTTGGACTCAACTCTCAAACAATTTAGTATTAAAGCCATTCAACCGTCGTTTCTTGAAAAATAGTTATTCAAATCAAATCAATACTATTTTTATTGATTTTTTATTTGTATATCAGATGTCAGGTGTTAAACGATATGAAACTTATGGACAAATTTTGTTATATACTATACTTTCCAAATTGAATCTTAAGATAATAATAATAATAAGTATTATTTCTATATTAAAACACAAAAAACAAATTATAAATTTAGATATCAAAAAACAACTTAATATTTTAAATATGAGTTAATTTATAGTTAAAAAAAATAATTATTAAAAAAATAATAGGATTGTTATAAAATGGTATAATAATATGCATTCCATCCCTTTTATACATGATTTCTAGTCAATTGTAATAATTGATAACATGTTTGATTAATTTGATTTTAGATTGAGTTTTAATTTCATTTATTATTGATCTTTGATTTGTGATAATTATTTTACAAAATTATATAAATAATAAGTATTGCTTTAAAATATTGTATACATATTTATATGAAATATAGTATTTATATATATATATATATATATATAACTAAATTTATACAAAACTAATGCTTAATAATGGTTTTTAATTGTAATTCTTTTATTATTTGTTTGCAAATTTTATTCATATAATTTATTTATTTCTCTTTAGTATAAATTTTAGATTATATACAGATTTATATTTATTTACTTCATTAAACATCATAAATATTCTTTATTTATCTATTTATTTAATAAATAACTTTTTTAAATAAAATTAATTTCAATTTTTAGGATAATTGCAAAAATTATAATATTACATTTATACAGTATATTATTGTATATGTAATACTTAAATATTTAAAAATTAAAAATGTGTTGCAATACAGTATTTTTGATGAATTTTCACTTATAAAATATTAATTTAAACTTATTGTCATATAGAATGTAATATGAGAAACATTAACAAAAATACAATAATGTAATATAATAATAATAAAGTAATTTTTATAGGTTTAAAAAATTATAAGTAATAAATATTAATTTCTTAGATTTTAGTCATTTTCAATTCACAATTTAAACAAAARAAAAAACTGATAACTACCGTAATTTACTTAAAAATAAGTTAAAATTTTGTTTCAATCATTTTATTTAATTAATTTATATTAGAATATTTAAGTAGTTCTCGTAAAACACAATAATTATTATGTTATAAATAAAATACATTTATTGATATTCATTCAATTTGTTGTTATCAGAAACAAATGGTAAAAATTATATTAAATTTATCTATTATTACAGATATTATTTTTTTTAATTTAATATTAATTAACTAATATTATTTTTAAATAAATCAATTATATATTATATTGTACCATATATATACCGGTATATTATATAGTATAAAAAACATAGTTTATTACACAATTCAAAAGTATTTATATTCATATTAAATAATGTTTTCTAAAAATAATAGACAGTTTATTTAATATTGATAGTCCAGTATAATATTGTATATTTGTTTAATTGATTCTAAACTTTATAAATAAATTACTTATTGATAATATTAATATATAATTAGATATATAAATAATTCAAAATTTTTAAATTTTATTTTTTAGAATTACTATAATTAAAGTTATATACATAGTCTTAAAATATAAGATTTAGTTAGTATCTGAAAAATTAATTTGAAATCATAAACTAATCAGTTATTTGAAGTTATTTGAAGTTATTTGAGTCAACTAATATTGAAAATACTAGATAGCATTGTCAGAACAAACTTGTAAAAAATATATCTATAATTGTTGTCATAATTGTTTATCAAACTCATCTTATTTATCTAATCACACCTATTGACCCATTAATGATTAACTCATTCACACACTTAAGTAAAAAACACAAACATATTAATATATTATTGCAAAAAGACTATCGAGTGCTACAAATAAATAGACAAAAAAATCATATTCGAGTCGTATGTATCGAAACCGGTAACTATAACTTAGCGGTTAGTAATGATTGACACTTAACTAACATTAAATTAATGCAAATTACTAGCCTTTGGACCACAACTGCAAATCGGACCTCATATCACCTGTTGGTCTCATAACGACTTACTGGTGATCTTATAGTGGATATTTGTCTCACACCGACACATATCTACTAGTGTTTGGTATTGATTAGACGGAAGTACAGCTCTCATACCGACCCACGCTAAGTACGACCGGTCTATTTGGACATCAATTGTCTGAATAGACATTCCTCTGGAACTAAATAATACTACACACAACAAATTATTAATATTAATATTTAAATTATAACATTTATCTAAATGAGCTTAACTTTTGACTAATATTTACTTTTTTTATTTATTAACTATAGCTAAGTTATAACAACAAGTAATATTAATTAACAAATTTTATTTTGTTTTTTATAAACCAATGAGAAATTGTAATAATTATTGTAATCTTAATTGTATTGTAATTTTTCTAGGTATAACTACTGTAGTGAATTTTAATTGAAACATTAAAATGTAATAGTTAATATTTATTTATGATAAATTATATAATATTTATAAATTAATTTATTGATAACTTTTATTATTTAATAATGCTAGTCATAAAAATTTTAAAAAATCGATTTTTTAAAAATAAAGCATTAGTATAATTTATAATATTAATAAATATAATTTTTTTGAAAAATTTTCAAACTAATGTCAGTAAAAACTAATAAAGTATAACTAATAGACTACAGTATAACTATTGTTGTAGTGTTAGATAAAAAATGTTTATATATATATTATAAAAGTATGCTTTTTAAAAAAAACTATTTCATAAATCACAAGCAAACACACATTTTTATGCCAATTATTAGTGTTTATTTAGTATTCAATAGACTATATGTGCTATTCTTGTTAAGATTTAACATATAATTTAGTTTTTACACAAATAGTTTGGCTGTAAAAATGCTATTCATTATTATATTTCATGTAAAGAATTGGACTGTTTTTAACAACAGTTAAAAGCTTCAGCTTTTGCCCAATAATACAATGTATGAGACGGTATAATAATATATACAAAAGCGGATTCAGCTAAATGTGCAACGAGTAGAGCACACCATCCAATGGGTACTATAGTTATGAACACATTTGACAAAATACTTCATCCCGTAATGAATAGGTGCGACAAACGCCACCAAAAACTTTTTGAGCTAATATTAAAAGCTTACAATCCCTTCAAATAAAACTAATAGTGCAGACATTAAGTCTGCGTAGAGATGAGGCTCCACCATATGAATGGCTAACTGAGCCAATGGGCGATCCATTCCATCCATACCGAAGCACTCATACAATATACTGTCGACTCGTGACAACTCTCTCTCTCTCTCTCTCTCTCTCTCTCTTTCTGAAGCCACCAGAGAGACTGTCATTTCATTGAGCGCTCAAACAGTATTAATACTAAAGTGGTGTCACTTAATATCATATATACATTACATAGTTTTTTATATAATAAAGAGTTAATAGTATTTGGTTTGTATTTCACTCAACATAACAGTAAAACATACAATAATTTTATTACAATTTATATTAAATAGTATTAAAGTTGAAATAGTGTTATGAAAAGTGAAACAAATAGTTGTCAAACAAATAGTAGTATTGATAGTGAGGTCCAAGACCTGAGCCTATCATCCAATGCATTACACGGCGGCTATCCGTTTGAAATGTCGTCAATGATTCACAATTCAGTGATGAATAACATGCAATCATCGGTGCCATCAATGCATACCTTTAAGGAATCCAATGTAAGGAATATTCGTTACTATACTCTGGAAGAAGAGACCAGAGATCACATTACATTAAATCCGGCCATCATTTCAAATGAGTATTGCGATGAAGAGCTACAAAATAATATAATGTCATCAAAAAATTGTGCTCAAAATTATCTTATCAATGGTAATAACGGAATCAATGTATCAAATAGACAACATAGCGGCCAATTAAACGACGACTCAGAGTTTTCCTATGCCTATAGTAGTCTTCAGCAGACAATCTGTTTGTGTCAAGTGTTTCGACAATCTTCTAATACAAAGAAATTAGCCGAAGTTATCAAACATATGCCACAAGACGACCAATTCATGCGTAATCAGGAGCTACTTGTGGCCCGAGCTATACTGGCCTTCAAAGAGGGCAACTATAAGGAATTGTACCGTATATTGGAATCACAACCATTCGATGAAAAACATCACAAAGAACTCCAGAAGCTATGGCTGGAAGCGCATTATGAAGAACTACACAAACAACGGGGCAAAGCGTTGGGTGCCGTAGATAAGTATAGAGTCAGACGGAAGTTCCCGTTGCCGAAGAATATTTGGGACGGAGAAGAAATGATCTATTGTTTCAAAGAGAAGGCCAGAAGCTATTTAAGGGAATTCTATAAGAAAAACAGTTATCCATCGCCTAAGGAAAAGACAGAATTGGCAAAAACTACTGATCTGACTCTTACTCAGGGTATGTATCACTGACTTATCAGTTATATTATATTTTGCTAATTAATCTATTGTTATAATTTAATATAAAATAAGACCTATTTAAGTAATTTAACTATATTAAAAATTATTAACATTAATTTTAACATAATTGTTTCTATRAAAAAAAAAATTTAAAAAAAACTTATTACTTTAATCTATCTATAATGATAAATATAATATCAAGTATTACTGTAAATAAGTATTAATTAAAGATATATCATTTAAATAGTTAGCAATTGGTTTAAAAATCGTCGACAACGAGACAAAGAGTCAAATCAAAGGTATGCTTTTATTTTTATATAATTATATCAAATATTTTGATTACATAAAAATTCAAAAGTTAGCGATCATAGAGAGTAACAATTTTTTTCAAACAAAAACAGTTGATTGAGTTCATTGCCAGCAATTTCTAGTCATTATAAGTGTTGTGTCCATTGAAAGGCTTTTGAAAAGCAAATAACAAACACATGTTGTGTTTGTGCGGCTTCTTCTTAGTATTGAATAGGGTTTCGACGAAATTGGAAAAAATAGTAAATTTTCTGTAAATTTATACTAAATATTACTTTAAGAATAGTTTACTTATTTTGAGAAAATAAGACCAAAATTGATTGTATCATAGCTTTAGATTATTACGTTGTTTTACAACTAATTAAATATTAGCACAAATTTCAGTTATAAAACTACTATAGTATCTATAAATAAGAATATTAAATGTTTTGAGAAACTTTATATATATATTGTATAGAATATAACAAAATTTAGTTCAAACCCTACTACTGAATAGTTGACCCAATGGTTCATTTGTTAAGTGCCTCTCATTCAGGGACACATCCATTGAATAGATAGCCGACCACTTGTTTCAATGACACTACTGTTTGTAATGTTTTCATGTGATACTCATTTCACTATATAACTGATCCTTTTCTATGCTTGACATGACATGACTGACAGATTTAGTGCTAAACATTTGTCTTTAAAGATAGTTTACTATTTTGAATAAGTACTCCTTTTTTGTATTAGATATCTAAACATAATTATTTAAAAGTCGATCATTCCCTAAGTATTTAAGTAATTCAATGTAAATATTATTTAAAAAGTATGATTAGTTGATAAATTATTTTTTGTTTGTTTAAAACAAATTAATTATTTTAAAGTGATAAGTACTGTATAATAAGAATATATGTATATATATATATATATATATATATAATATTACAATATTTAGCCGTCATATGTCAATAAGTCATGCAAGTGGTGGACATAATCCGCAAACAACCCGGTATTCAATGGCCGTCACGACTTCAACCAATTCGAGTCCATCTCCGGTCGGCATTATTCCTGTTATACCTCATATAACACAGTTAGTACCCGAGGGTATGGTCAAGAATGAGGCACCGGTTCTTTCGCAACAGTCATCACACCTACACTCTGGTCATCACCACATACCTAATGATCATTACTATTATAACTCTATAATAAATGTTCAATGATTACTATTTTTAACTATTGATGTGTTAAAACTTACATTAATTTTTAAAATAGATTTTACAATTTATAGTTTTTTATTATTATTATTATAATAAATTTATTATTTCCACTAAAAGGATACATTTCTATTCAATTATAGGCTTTCAATTTGTAAAAATAATGATAACAAAAATTGAATCTCTAGATTTCAAATTAATTAAATATTTGAATTGCGGGTTAAAATAAATATTTCTATAATAGAGTATTTAAAAACATTATTTTGTTAATATATAATAATAATATAAACTCAATGTATATTATTATAATACCTTTATCGCATTATTTAACTTTCATAAAAAACTTTTCATAAACATTAGTAATAAATTTGATTGCAAAGTCCAACAGTCAATCAGTTAGTTAGCAATGAAAGATATTACTTATTATTATTATTATTAAATATTTGATGTCATATCAGATATCAGATGGTGAATATGTCAGAGAGATTGCCGATAAAAATAATGTATTATACAGATTGGGTCAGTAATAGGTCCCACTGGGGCTCTAATCAAAGCCAGTTGTCAACTGTATTATTGCTGTTTTTATGAACCTATGATCGGCCTATTCTCTCCTATTGTGGTTCATATATACTGTATATATTATACAAACTCACACACACACACACACACACACACCCTAACCTCCCGTTCCTGCCTAACCTCAATGTTTGCCTCGATTCGCTATTTTCTACAAACTTCTATACATAACTATTCTCTCCATTAGTATCCAAGTGGCGATCAATGACTGTTAATAATTTATGTTTTGTTTRMAAATAATTAAGTTAATTTTTTTTATAAATCATATATATTCAGTATTATTAATAATAACTAGCATTAAAATTGTAAAGCTTTGTATAATAAATGCCTGAAAAATTTTATATAAATAATACAAACAATAAAAATGACGAATAAAACATTGTATAAAGTAATGTGGGTTTATATGATATCAAAAGTCCAATTCATTGTTTTTATAATATATATATATATATATATATGTCTATCATTTAAATGTTTATTTTTATTTAACATTCACTTATGGAATGGTTTTTAGATTCGGATTTCGGCTCATATTATAAACAATCCAAATATTAAAGTCTGAGACAATTATTAATTTTTAACTTTTAATAAAAACTTAGCAAAACTATTATATCATACGGTATATTAAAATMTATATTTCWTATTAATAGTGTAAGTTATTAGTTAATCAAATTATATTTTATAGATGAATAAATTTTTAATAAAAGAGATTTAAAATGAGAGAATATTTTTAAAAATAACAATTTTTAAATATTCACATTAATAAGATAKATATATTAAATTTCTATAATATTTAAAACTTTAATATTTTTAAACATTTATATGTAATACAATTTCATCAAAATGTCTTAAAGGTTTACTAATTTAATTTTAATATTAAATGATGATATATCTTGTGATTATTTTTTTACAATGAAAATTATAGTAAAAATTTCTATAAGTAATAATAATAATAATCAAATTATTTATAATTATTTATAACATTATTATTTTATGATTATATATGAGATATGAGTGGTCATAACATTTTGTGATGAAAAATGTTTTTAATGATTAGTGACTCAATATTTGGGTAAAAATAATTTCAATAACGATTGCAAAACGCAAAGAGAAAATATAGAGAAATTTGATGCCTTTTTGAACACATATAGAGATATATAGAGAGAAAATATATATAATGTTAAGGAAAAGCATAGTTTGGTTGTTGTATTATTTGCTGCTATAATACAGTAGGCTATGTATGTATGGAACCAGTAGTTGACTGGTATATACTCTTAGAGCATATGATTAATAACTACTCCACTCTTATGGTGAAACTCGAGACCGTAATGACTACTCCAATGAAATACAACACTACTCTATAGTCATCCCTTATATTCGCTGTCCTCTCAGTCCTCTCAGTCCTGATTTAATACAACCAAAAGAAGCTGTCATTTGATATGAGGATCGCAACAACAAAAAGACTAACTTTTCTTATGCTTAAACACCTTAAATATAAACATTTATCGCACGGATTAATGCTTTTTTAAAACCTATTTTCATACTTTTTTCTCATAATTATTAAATAACGAACAATTAATCACTTAATCCATTGATGAAAACATATAAATTAACTTATTTTTATATTATTTGATATTTATTTTGGTATAAAATTTCCAAATAATTTAATCTATAGTCTTGTTGTTTATATTATATAAATATTTGTATATTGTTTGTACTAATTTCAAATTACTTACTAATAAGCATCAAAAAAGTTATTTTGTATGATTTATAATTACAAATAACAATATATCACTTTATGTACAAATATTATATGTATACATATACTGTAGTCAATTATGTATATGTCTATAGTATAGTATAGTATACTCTATACAGTAGTTGAAACTGTTATCAAAATATCTGTTGTATTTGTTTTCATAGTGTTTGGCTAACTCTGATAGACATATAATTTGAGATTTTTATTTTCCAAAAAACCTTTGTATCTATTTATGAGTTGTATTTTAAAAGCAAAATAGCTTTCAAATTGCATATCAAATGTTAAAACGATTAATGATATAAATCTAAAGGAAGTAACATTTATCTGGTGTTGAAATACAAACTCTAATTGTTTGTCATAACAAATATAATATTTAGAAAAATTTATTTTTATTATTTTACACTAATTGCAAAATTATTACTATTATTAAAATTGAGTAAAAATAAAAATATATTAAAAACATAATTCGTTCAAAACATAAATTTTAAATTAAAATTTCCTATAAGTTCCAAATATTTTTCGTTTGTAAATACAGTATACTATACACTGTGTACATAACTACTGTATTTTGCATAAAATTTTTAAATTATAGCAATTAAAAGCTTTGACTACACAATGATTATTATACTGTACTATACAATACATTATAATTTATTTAAAATTACTGACATAACAAACGGATCAATCAAATAATGAATAAATAGTTTTTAATTTTGAATCTTATATATTATATTAATCATAATTGTAATAATAATTAAAAATCTATAGTTAATAATTTCTCATTTTTTGTAAGTAAAATTATTTTGTATTTTTTAAATTATATACTCTGTATATTATACAGTATTTAGTTATACACTGTAAGTACAGGTATGTATTGTTTTCAACAATTTGTTGATATTAGATATGCTGACAACATATTGTTTTTAGTATTTTCGCGCTTCAAAAACACAATTTGTTGATAAAAAAAATAATATTTAACAAAACTTTATTTTAAAAACTTATTTTTATTAGTAATAAATATTAAAGTTTTATCAAAACTTATTATAATAATACATAATAACTTATTATTAATTATTATCACTAAAAATAATATTAATGGCCGCCTGGACGTCACCRTTAGTTGCCTCTAAAGCTTGAATGGCAACAATATCATCATTGATACCCAAATCTCTCATTTGTTGCAATTGTGTGGCCCAACCCCTGAGCCGCTGAGCGGTTGATTGAGTTGTACTGGTCGAGGGCTGTGACTCATTCACGGGCGCCGCTTGTATTGACTGTCGCAAAGCTTGGCTCAACATATCTATAAAACAGATTAATTATCAATAAAATTAATGTCATATTTGTATTTAAAATTAAATTTAATCCAAATTATACCTTGAGTTATAATACCGGATGAATTTGATTGATTTGATGATTGATTGTCTCTATTTCTTGATGTCTGATAAGCGCGAAGCATCATATCAGCAATCCGTTGGGCGGTTGCGCTCGAATTACTGGCCGACTCCTGACTGTCCATCGGTTCGTCATCACTGTCGTCATCGATCGGTGCGTCTAATGAATAACTCGGAGGTCGACCCAATAAATCAAGATTAGACGGTCCGCCTGTCGACTCATTAGCAATATTTTCCTCGTGAAAAGTGGCCGCTAAAAACAACGTGGCCTCTAAAAGACACGGATGTTTGGCTAATACTTTATGAATATTGGTTGGTTCAGTTAATGTTGCTAATAGATCCATGTCTTGTAATATTGCTGTTATAGTAAGGATGAGTTGAATGAGTCAAATGAGTTAAAATAAATACAATTATATTTAAAAAACTAACCGAAAGTTGTCGGATCTTCTCGAAGTCCTGGCGTCACTGCAATCAGATTCTCTCTGAACTCAGTTTCACTTAACTTATCCAACATTTGCCGAAACTTTGGATTCGGAAGAGCCATCCGTAACGCTATAATCATTTGATGAATTTCTGAGTGATTGGTTGGCGTTTTCGTGTCCATCGATTGACTATTAGTTGGACTGTTTGTCGTCGGATTCAAATGTGTTTTATTGATGACATAAACAATGGTTCCGTTTTTAATGCCGTATGAGTTGAGTATTTGATCGGCAGTTAGTAGTTGTCCGAAACAAATCAAATCTATTAACAAAATATTGCATTAAATTATTGACAAACTATTTGTGTATCAAAAATACCAAACATGTCTTCAGACAAATCCAATTGTTTGGACACCAATTGAGACAATGAGTCAACAGTTGAGTTCAGATCAATGTTGACCACAGTATTGGTCTTCTGGTTCACAATCGTCTGATATCTGCGACATATGTTCACAAATGTAGCCATTTTTTCGGATCAAACTAGTGATCAATAATCGGAAAATGTTTTTATTAAATGAATGAGTGTTTGAAATGTATTTGTTTTTTAAATACAATATTAAAAACAATAACAAACAAAACGTATGACTAAACAGTTTATTGATTAATGTTGTAAACAATGTTATTGTTTGAGTCGATAGATGTCTACACTATTGGCCAACAATTTAATCAAATAATTTCAAAATCAATTGAAAACTTTGTCTAAAAATACTAATTAATAGGATTTTTGGAAAAAAATTGTCATTTCATTAGACATTATAAGCAATCATTGAATTTAAATAGCATTTTATATTACTCTTACATTTGCTATAGTTTTCAATACTTATTATTAAAACTCAATTTCTGATAATGACGTCGAATCTGAAGATACCGTCGGACGAAACCACAAACAGTGGCCACACTTCGGCTGATACGTCGAACCGAATGCGCGTATATGTGAGGGTTAGACCACTGAATGACGCCGAGACCGACAATGGATTGAAAAAGTCAATTGACGTAATCGACACACAATTACTGGTCTTTGATCCCATAGAATTGGACGACAGTCTCAATACCGAAGACCAGTACGAATACCGCGGAAAGACATATCGGGCTATCGGTCGCAGACCTAATAGAAACTTACAGTTTGTCTTCGACCGGATTTTAAGAAAATTGATGAAATGAAAATAAATTGACTCAAAAATGCACTCTCGAAGCCAAAGTAGAAGAAAATGAAAGCAAGATTAGGAAAATTGAGAGCGAATTATTAGAAAAGACTGGATCTGATGATTGGCTAATCAATCGATTTTTTACCGATGAGAACATTAAGGCTGAGTTCAAAGATAAAGCATTTGCTGAAAAACATTCGCTCGAAATTGCAAAAGAGATATTCAGTCGATTAGATACTAATGAAGAACTTATGATGGATTCGGTTAAATTGAATCGTAAAGCTTATCAATGTCTCGATGGTATGGGACGTCTTAGCGAAGAACTAGAAACCGCTTTTATATCACTTTTACGTAGAGTTGAGGGAAAGAAAAATGTCGTTTGGAAAGACGATATCTCTTCGCCAACCATTTCAAAACGCAAAGAAGTGGCGTCACTGTTCTCATTGCCGACTTATTTAGCACTGAATAATACACCACAACTAAACACATCACGAGCTTTGGTTTCCGTTCATCACATAACTCCCAACAATGCAAATATGACTCCTGAAAGAGGTTTACCATTAATGCAGAAAAATGTGAATTTACCCAAACTATCGCTTACATCGACGGTAACAAAGACATCGAAAGTGGCAGTGGTTTCGGCGAGTAAACGAAATATAGACGACGAGAACAATGCTTTAAATGATACGTTCACTATAGGCGCCGGTCGGTCGTCACCTAAGACTCAAAACACAATTCGTGATAATAATGACTATCGAATGAAAAGTCCAATAAATAACTATAGAAATGGTAACAAAAATTTCTATCAATATAGAGATGAAAACAAAAGCAGTGGTCGATCGCATAAACTCCGAGTATATATACTTTAAATCTTTTTTAAAACATTTTTATTTGATTTTTTAAATTTTTATTATAATATAAAAGTTCATAATTTTTCTATTTTTAATGTATAACTGGTTGAGGAATTGGCTTTTTCTTCTCATCTTAAAATCATTTTATTAATTATTTGATTTTTCATTATTTATAAATATTTTCAATGTTTGTTATTTATAGTAAATTTATATATTTTATTATTAATAATAATTATAATATACTTTGCAATTAGTTTAAATACAAATAAAATAAAAGTATACTAAATACGAGAATTTATTTTATAAACGTAAAATTTCTATAGAAATTACTACCGAATATTTTTAAAAAATTTTGCAGTTTTTTAGAAAATTTTGTTTTTACAGCAATAATTATAATTTATAACTGTTTATTAATATAAAATTAGAGATTAATAAATAAGAAATAATAATTATAATATTACTTTAATTATGCATAATTACTGTATTTATAGTAGTAACTGTAGTTAAAATAAAAATATTTATATTTACTGTATATATATATATATAAATTTATATTTAGTTTTATTTATATTTATATATGTTTCTATATATAATCTCTATTTAGATAATACTTGTAAATTATTCTTGAGTTCTACTATTATGATAAACAATGTGACTAATAATAAACTAAATGCAATGCTATTATGCTATAATTGAGTTCATTACTGACATACAATAAGCTTTATTTGTAGTATAAGTATTGATTAGTTTATAAAAAAAAAGATGATCACAAAGTTTGTGTCAAAACCAAAAATTTTCTAAATTTATGAGTAAACAGCAGTTTGTTTGTGTGTGTATGTGTGTGTGTGTGTGTGTGTCTACTAAAAATGATAAAAATATTAATTAATTTTTGAAGTTTAGCAAAAGATTAAGATAGTTATATAATAGAAATTTTATTTAAACGAAAAATATTAATTTATTGATTAGTAAATATAAATTATTTTGTTTTGATTAAATGTATTAAACAATTTTTACGAATTAAAAAATTATTCATTATAATTAAATAAAGATTTTTTAACTTTAAAAAGAATTTGTATTTTCTAACAAAAAATAATAAATAAAATAATATTTATGTGAGAAAAATAAATTTCCTTTAATTATGTTTAACAAAGACTGTAATTTGTTTAAAAATTGATTAAATATATAAATTTTCATTTTTAGTTATTTCATTATTTTACAATCATGTTATGGTTGAAAATTTTAGTTTTAAGAATATTATTACCGATACATTAAATTTATATACAGTATAACTTAAATTTATTAGTTTTGTGTTTATTTATACAAAATTATTTTTATAAGTAATTTTGTTCATTATTGTAATTCATACATTTTATTCATGTGAAAATTTATAATGAATAATCTGAAAATATTTAAATTATTATAAATTATCTTATTATATCTGATATCATAATTTGCATAATGCTTTTATAGCACAAAATTGACTTTTATTATAAATTATATAATAAAAGTGTTACCAAATGAATGGCATGTATTGAGGGAATCATTACTTTATAAGCAAAGATTTTATTGATCTATTTTAACAACAAATACCAGTCTATATTAGGTGTATGTGTAAGTGCTGTCAAGCCATACACACACAAAAAGTAATAAATGAGACACTAAACTATAATATACTACTAAACGGATACATTGAAAACATTTTTGTGTCTTTCCTTTAGAAAAAGTTAAATAAATTTTATTCATATTTTTATTATTATATCAATATTTTATATTTAACGATTTATATTGTTATAAATTTATATGTGTTGTTGTGCCGATTTTTTATCAATTTTATGCAAATAGTGAACATTTATTACTGTATATTATATTTACACAAAACTTTGTATATRTATATAATATATACTATAATATATATTAAGTGTTTCTTCTTAAATAAATATTTTAATGAGATTGCATTGCAATGCTATGGAAAACTTAATGTGCAAAACAGTGTTGAGTAAATTACCGACTAATCCAATAGTAAACTAACAATAATTTACTCTTTTTTTTGCATTAGTCTAAGGCTTAGACTTTAAGCTTAGGTAAAAATCATTTAACGTAATGGGCACACAATCTACTTTAAGTTAAAAATATTTTTACTATTTTTAACTAATATATTATTTTACTAAATATTTTTATATACTCTACATATATATACTGTACTAAATTATTTCAATTTTATTAAAACTATTTGTTTAATGACAAGTTTGCATTTTAAGAGAATACTGGATTGCATTGTATATTTATAAGTGGTTTATTTCATTAATATTTTATTTAATTAAATATGCATTATATTATAGTATACATAAATAAATAAATAATGGTTTGTTTGTTTGTTTTAATGAGTGCTAGAATCAGAGAGTCGTTTTAGTAAATAAATTAAATGCAAATCAAATATATTGTACATACAGTACATATAGTATACCAGTTATATACCAATAAATAGATACCATTTCTGTTGCGAGTTTTACTTTCGACATATCGTATATTATAACCACCTTTTTATACCTCTTGTATGTTAGACGTTATGTTTCAATGTATTTGCAATAGAATTGATTGCAATGATTGCAATGAAATGTATTTTTCTCTGAGAAGTACTTCCATAGTCTTATGTATAACTATTACCAGTCGACCAACGATTCTGTAGGCATTACAGTGATTCTGTCATTCGGGCATTCAATTTAATGCTCAAACTCATAGACAACACACACATACTAAGAGTATATATATATATAAAATACAGTATATATATATACATTAGAGAGAACCAACACTTTTAGAGAATCACGTAATGCCTCACAATTGGAGAGCACTTCCTTCGACTTCAGAGCTTTGAGACAACGTTTGAATACATACACAGAATCGACAAATTCATGACAAGAATAGATGACAATACTCTTTGCTCTTTCGACTCAAATACTGTTTTTTCAATACTTTATTATTTGTGACACAACTTGTGAGATAAAAAACAAAAAACTTTTTCATAAGGATTATGATATAAGTTATCTATTAATGTTTTGTGACTTCTTGTCATTTACTAATAATCTATGAATTTTGTAGCAATATTTTTGATTACTCCCACAACACTTAGTTTATTATTTTTTGAAACATTTGTGTGTTTTCAATGATTAAATGTGTTGCTTATATTATCTTTATTATTAAGTTATAGTTTTTTTTGTGATCAAAAATGACTTCATCAAAACATATATTTAGTGTTATATTACAATTATTAATGTTATTATCAGTGAATAGTTTCAGAAATTCAATTGTCGAGAACTGTGAGGTATCGCTCAAGAAATGTACGGCTGATATGACGTGCGGTTTAGCTCTTCATGACTATAGAATCAGTTGTAAAACAGAACTTTACGGCCGATCCAACCAAAGCTGTTCCGAGTTATGTCAATTGGCACTCATATCACTGTCTAATACCCGTCAGGGCTATAATTATCTTAACTGTGACTGCGGTGACAACACCTACTGTTCACTGATCCGCAACCGAACCAAATCGTGTTATCCGGAAAGTGAT